TTCCTTTTTTTTTTCCTTTTTTTTTTTTTCTTTTTTTTTTTTTCTAGCTTTAATTTCTTTGATCGGAAACTGTGTAGTTGTACTTCAAGTGGATCGGCAGACATTGGATTGGAGAAATATTATTTAAATATTATTTCGTTCAAAGATTATGCGCGAATCGGTTAAGATAAAATTGTAGTGATGAAAATATAGGAGAGAAATGAAGTGTATCTCACTTAGTTAGGTGCATGAGAAATTGCAAAAAATTAAGATTATTATATATAGGAATTGTAAAATTTCTTTCTTTTAAATAAATATTTAATTTTATTAACAATCGAAATTGATTCTTGATAATTTACGCCACGATTCTTAAATATTTTTTTAACTTCCATTTGAAAATTTCTGCATATTTATCAACAAGATAAAATTTGCGTGGGTGAATTATCAACGATGATTATTTCGAAAAATTACTTGCTGATTCGATTCGACGAAAGTTAAATATTTTAAAAGACAAATTGTCAAAGCTTTGTACACATAATCGATTCCGCCAGACACATTTTCGTTTCCTCGAATAATTGAAATTTATTGACACCGGAATTGATTCCCCACGATTGTGTGAAAGATCAAAGCGTCGCGCTGCCAATTCACCAAGGATATTTGAACAGGAGCAAGGTGTCTGATCGTTCGCGAGGTGTGAAACGCACGGCTAAATCGGATTTTGACTTCACAAGTAAGAGGATAACCCGCGAAATCGTTCCGCTTGGAACGTGCTTCGAGCCTCGCGTATGTTTCAACTACTTTCACCCAAGGAATATCATTCGAGATTGAAAAGTCGGACGAAGAGCTTGCCGATGTTCGAACATCCTCGTCGTCTCCTATATTTTTCCTTTGAAATCTTCCTAATCGTTATTTTATCTTTGCAGATTTATTCATAGAACACTTTTACGAACAGTAGTCGAAAAATATCGCATCGATCCCCAAATATATATATATATATATATATATTCGAATATTTATGAGAGACCGTTGGCTCCCCTTCGTAATAATAAATTTTCATAGAATATGCAATCCATTTTAATTCCCCACCAAGACAAACAACGACGTGTGCGCGACGGGTCAGAAAAATCCCCAAGAGGACGAAGCTTATTTCCCTCTGTGCAACGTGATCGAAATTCCGAACGGTCTCGCGTTCCTTTCCTCTTCCCTCCCTCCTCCCATTCCCTGTGGAGTGGAACATCCAGGGCTACTATCGCTCCACGAGAAAAATAATAATAATTTTCCTTCGCCCGCGACGAATTTTGCCCGATCGCTCGACGAGGCGGCGAAAATTGCGCGAAAAGTTTTCCTCGATTGTCTTCAACTTTTTTCGCAATAACCGGACAACTTTTTTTTTTTTTTTGTTGCCCCCACGGCATGCTAATTGAAACGAAGGGCGGGAGAAAATAAAAAAAATTCGAGAAAAGATGCGAAACAAACGAACGAACGACGGCAGTTTTTGAACAACGATTAATCGTATACGTTGGATGGAAATTTCTAACAACTGGAAACTGAT